AAATTTGGTTGAAAGAGATTGAAAGGATTTTCAGAGTTATGAACTGTGCTGAAGGGGATAAGGTGGGACTTGGATCTCACATGCTGAACGAAGAAGTCGATGATTGGTGGGTCGATATGCGTCAGATTCTTGAAGTGGATGATGAACAGATAACTTGGGATTTATTTCGTACTGAATTTTTGAGGAAGTATTACCCTGAAAGTGTAAAAGGGAAGAAGGAGATGGATTTCCTTAAGCTGAAACAGGGTAATATGTCCGTGGTGGACTATACTGCTAAGTTTGTAGAGTTGGTTCAATTTCATCCTCACTATGATGCGATTACGACTGAGTTCTCAAAATGTATTAAATATGAGAATGGTTTGCGTCCTGAGATTAAGCAAGTTGTGTGATATCAAAGGATAAGGAGATTTTCAGATTTGACGGAATGTTGTAGAATCTTCGAGGAAGATAGCAAGGCTCATTCCACTCATTACAAAAGTTTGAATGAGAGGAAGGGAAAGCATCAGGCTAGAAGTGGACCTTATGTGACACCCGTCGGTAAGGGCAAGCATAGGGGAAATTTTGATAAGAGGTCTGGAGGGGAAAGTCCTGGTTCCATTAAGTGCTACAGATATGGTGAAATGGGACATAAATCATTTGAGTGTGGGAAACCCGTAGTGAAATGTTCTAACTGTGGAGGCACTGGGCATGCTATTACTGATTGTAGGAGGAATGCGATTAAGTGCTTTACTTGTGGAGAAGTGGGTCACATTAGTACTAAGTGTACTAAGCCGAAACAAGCTCAAGCAGGCGGAAAAGTGTTTGCATTAGCTGGTTCAGACACTACTAGTGCAGATCGTTTGATTAAAGGTACATGATTTATTAATAATACACCTTTAGTTGCTATTATTGATACTGGAGCGACTCATTCGTTCATTTCTTTTGAGTGCACTAAGCGTTTGGATTTGTGCATGTCTTCTTGTGGTGGTGAGATGGTTATTGAGACTCCTGCTTCAGGGTCGGTAACTACTTCTTTAGTGTGTGTAAGTTGTCCTTTGACCATGTATGGTAAAGACTTCATTATGGATTTAGTGCGTTTGCCGTTAGAGGGTTTGGATGTGATATTTGGTATGAATTGGTTGCAATTTAATAGAGTTCGTATAGATTGTTATCACAAGTTAGTGAGGTTTCCTCCTTTGGAAGATGATGAAGATGAAAGTTTTCTATCCACTAAAGAGTTGAAGAAACTTTTAGCGGATGAAGCTCAGTTGTTTGGTTTGTTTGCATCATTGTCGGTGGAGAGCAAAATGGAGCTCGATGTGTTCCCAGTGGTGTGTGATTTTCCAGAAGTGTTTCTAGAGGATATTACGGATGTACCGTCGGAAAGAGAAGTTGAGTTTTCTATTGATCTAGTTCCTGGTACTAGACCGATTTCGATGGCACCGTATCGTATGTCAGCATCGGAGTTGGTAGAATTGAAGAAGCAATTGAATGACTTGTTGGATAAGAGGTTTGTAAGACCAAGTGTTTCTCCTTGGGGTGCTCCAGTGTTGTTGGTAAAGAAAAGGGATGAGAGTATGCGGTTATGCATTAATTATCGACACTTGAACAAGGTGACAATTAAGAGCAAGTATCCGCTTCCAAGGATCGATGATTTGATGGACCAATTGGTTCATCGACGATATTTTGATTTACTCTAAGTCTCAAGAGGAGCATGAAGAGCATTTGAGGATTGCGTTATAGATTTTAAAAGGGAAGCAATTGTATGCTAAGTTGTCGAAGTGTGAATTTTGGTTGTTGGAAGTAAGTTTTCTTGGGCATGTTATTTTCGGTAATGGTATTAGTGTGGATCCATCCAAGATTGATGCGGTGATGCAATGGGAGTCTCCTAGATCTGTTACGGAGATTCGAAGCTTTTTAGGCTTGGCGGGTTATTATCGGAGGTTTATTGAGGGATTTTCGAAGTTGGCACTTCCGTTAACGCAATTGATTTGTAAAGGAAAGGCTTTTATTTGGGATGTTAATTGTGAAAAGAGTTTCGTTGAGTTAAAGAGAAGATTGACGATGACGCCAATCTTGATTTTGCCGAATCCTACGGAACCTTTTGTGGTTTATTGTGATGCTTCTTTGACTGGTTTAGGTGGTGTTTTGATGCAAGATGGAAAAGTTGTGGCTTACGCTTCAAGACAATTGAGAGTGCATGAAAAGAATTATCCTACACATGATTTGGAATTAGCGGTCGTGGTTTTTGTTTTGAAAATTTGGAGGCACTATTTTTATGGTGCAAGATTTGAAGTTTTTAGTTATCACAAGAGTTTGAAATATTTATTTGATTAGAAAGAATTGAACATGAGACAAAGAAGGTGGTTAGAGCTTTTGAAGGACTATGATTTTGGTTTGAATTACCATCCGGGTAAGGCAAACGTGATGGCTGATGCTTTGAGTCGGAAGTTGTTACATATGTCCGCATTGATGACGAAAGAATGGGAATTATTGGAGAATATGTATGCATTTCAAGAATGTCATGAGTCATTTGCATGTGAAGCATATTGATGTGCATTCTTGTGTTGATTGATTCCTAAGAGAATCTGTAGAACATTGTGTGCCCAATTGGGTTGTGAGCAATGAGTAAACGTCGTGTGCCTATGAGAGGTGTGAGCGATGGTTGCAATCAGATTGTGTGCTCAGTTGGGGTGTGAGTAATCCATGAATATCGTGTGCCTATGAGAGGTGTGAGCGATGGTTGCAACTGATTGTGTGCCCGTGTGGGGGGTGTGAGCAATCAGATTGTATGCCCAATTGGGGTGTGAGCAATGGGTGAACATCGTGTGCCCATGTGGGGGTGTGAGCGATGGTTCTAATAAGTTCCTGAGTGAACTTGAGATGATTGAGTCGTTACCGTATTTGCATTTGCATAGAGTAGCGAGTTTGCCTCTATGATTTGCATATATCATCTTTATATGATGCACTGGTGAATAAACATAAATGTAAATGTTTATATGAAATGAGTATGATTGTGAATTGGTGAAATAAACATAATTATAAATGTTTATGTGAATTGTAGTGAATAAACATATTGTGTATGTTTATGTGGATTGATTGAAATTGTGGATATATACATGATGAATATGCTTAGTTTTGTGTATATACATTGTGATGTATATGTTGAATTTTGATGAATGTGGTGAGAATGTGGAATATGTGTATTCTATGATTGTATATAGATATATAATTATATGCATTGATCATTATGATAATATTTCTCACCCTTCTGCTGTTTTATGATGCTCTATAAGACATTGCAGAGTAGGTTTGCTGGAGGTCTTTTGTGAAGCGTGGCTTCATTCTTTTTGGTCGGTTGGCTCTGATATGTAGCAGCGGGTAGCTAGGATTATATAGAATTCTTTTGTGATACATTTGTATATGTATCTGCTGACGAATGTTTATGTAAACATGAATGATGACGTGAATCAAACTGAATGATATGTACATATATGTTTATATGTTTGAAATGATTCAATGTTTAGATTTTCCGCTTTTAATTCTAAATGTTGAGATGTGGGTGTAAGGACTAAGTTTCTATGTTGCAAGTTACGCCATTGTTGCATATCAATTATTGAGCAGGTGTTTGATGTTTTAATTTCATGTATAATGTGACATGCCTCTTTTATATCATGTTTTAATTATACTCTGATGGAAATTTTAATACGTGCCTAGATGATTTACGTGTTTATTTGGGGGTATAGAAAGAGGGTGTTACAACAAGCGTGAGGGGTGCTGATACCTTCCTCTCGCATAACCGACTCCCGAACCCAAGATTTGGTTGTGATGACCTTGTCTTCTCCCTTTCTTCAGGTTTTGTTCGATCGTTTCCTTTCCCTGCGTCGGGATAATTAACGTTCGATGGCGACTCTTCTGTTTTTTTTCCCGCCAGGTGTTTTTCGCAGTTGCGACATTATTCGATTTGGATTTTACCTTATCTTGATCCGAACATTTCTTCTCCTACAATTTTATAAAGAATGACCAATACAACTACAAAAGGTGCATAATTTAGAAGTCTCTCATATTTTATCTCAACAAAGATGGCAAAGCCAATTTTTTCACCAATACTTTATACCTCAACTCTTTTACTAGGTCCAAGTCAACTGACACTCTTATAAAGTATCCAAATCTCATGTCAAAAAAATGTCTATTATATACCGAATCAACGCATATTGGAGTATCAATGCTACTTGCGATAACAATAAGATCTCAGGTCTCCAATATTCCTAAAACAACCATGAATGTGAATCCATACTTGACTTGAAGTTTAGTTGATGATTGAACGAATAAAATCCTTAATCCATGATTGAAAAGATGATTAGTTTAACTCTAGTATTAATTTCTGTTTTATAAAAAAATTGTATTTTTAAAAATAAATAACCATAATTGAAAAAAAGAGTAAAAAAAAAAAGAAGCAAAGAAATGATTTTTTTGGGGGCAAAGCAAAGAAATGATAATTAAAAAAAGAGTAAAGAGAATCAATAATAGAGGAAAAAAATATGGGTTAGGAGATAGCTGGAAACCAATCATTTTGAATTTAAATCATAACTATATTAAAAATAATATCTATAAATAGTTCTGATAAAAAACATAAACATCTTTTTTTTTTTTGTCTTCCAAGAAAACCATGTGTACTTGGCAACTTTTCTCTAGTAAGATAGAAGGAATATTCGAGGGTAAGTAAGTAAAACCACTAAAAATTCAACCCATTTAAAAAAAGACAACATACACATTGTTTTTCAATTCAACCAACCAATCAAAACCCAATGTACCCTTCCTCAATATCATCGCCCCCAAACCAACAATAAAACTAAGTCACACAACACTAACCCTCCTCCACCAATCACCAAAAAACACATTCAACAACTGAACTTAAACTAAACAAAAACTTCATCATTTCATTCATAAAAAGACTATATATATTAATGGTCAAATCCTAAACCCATTCCTTTCATTCCTTTCAATTTTTCAATCTCATCATGGCTTCAATTTCGAGCATTTACTCATCTTCCCCTACACTCAACTATCAAAATAACCAAAACGCATTCCTAACCTCAACACGACGTCGTTCGGATCTCCCTTTTTACCAAACCCGACCTAAACTCACCCAAACCCGCTCCGTCGCGCGCGAGGTTCCGACTAATCTCTCCGCTGTCCAATCAACAAGCCACCGTCTCGAGAAGGATCCCCGCGCGTTATGGCGTCGCTACGTTGACTGGCTTTACCAACACAAGGAAATCGGACTGTATCTCGATGTGAGCCGGGTCGGGTTTACCGATGAGTTTGTTGAGGAAATGGAGCCGCGTTTGCAAGACGCGCTTATAGCTATGGAGAAGCTTGAGAAGGGAGCGATTGCGAATCCGGATGAAGGTCGTATGGTTGGACATTATTGGCTTAGGGATTCGAATCGTGCACCGAATTCCTTTCTGAAGTCGCAGATTGATAAGACGCTTGATGCTATTTGTGGATTTGCGAATGATGTCGTCTCTGGTAAGGTTAGTCAATGTATCGTGTCGTTTACTGTTTGTTAGTCAAATTTAATGTGATGTGACTCACTAATAAGAAGTTAAAATTCACTTTTTTTTTTTGGTTTTATGAATTGGATTTGTTTTGTTTGTTTCTGTGAGTGTATGGATTTGTTGATGAGGTTGTGGTTTGGTTTTGGTAGATTAAGCCACCTTCTTCGCCGGAGGGAAGGTTTACTCAGATACTTTCTGTTGGGATTGGAGGTTCTGCACTTGGACCACAGTTTGTTGCAGAGGCACTTGCTCCGGATAATCCTCCACTCAAGGTAAGGCATTGATATTCAATAGGGTTGTTTTTGTGAGTATGTTTAAATGGCACATACACACCCCTTTGTTTGTTTAAGTGCATGTTTGAATTCGAGGTTAGGTTCCCAAAAACACGGTGGCACACTGCTAAACTCACCTGCAATCTTACCGAGACATTGACTCTCCCTTTATTACACATGCTATGCTTTCTCTCTATTATTAAAAATTAGGGGAGAGGGGGTTGCGAAATTTCTCCACCAAATGAGGTTGGTGAGTGTTCTTCTAAATATAGAAGAGAGTGCATGAAGCATATACTCCGGCACAGTTAATGTAAAAAACACATGACAGCGACCCGGGTACATATATATTACTAATTAAAATTAAATGAATTATTAATAATTATTTATAAAAGATCTAAGCTAAATGAATTATTAATATTTATTTTGTGATACGGGTAATCCTAGAGTTGTCTCTGTTCATTGTTTGTCGGTAATGGAGTTTAATTTCCCTTCTATTGTTTTATCAGGAATTGCAGGTGTTTAATGAAGACATGTTTGTTTATATTCTGAATAATATAAAGTTTGAGTTGTGTTTAAACATAATTTATCTATCTATTAGATCTTTTGTAGTTACAATCACTTAAAACACTATTCAATTTAAAAAAAAATAAAAATTTAGGTAGTAGTAATCTTCCATCTTTTTTTAGAAGCTACTCAAAATAGTTTCTCAAAATAACTATAAATCTGATTTATTTTCAAATTCTAATCTTTTTTCGTTTTTAAAAGTTGTGAAACAAACTTTGTTTGTATAAACTCTTGAAATGATATATTTTCATGAAAAAAGCTCTGATGTGGCATTTTTTTTTGTTTTGGTAAATTACTTTGATAATTTGGGCTAGTCTTGTTTGGACTGAAGAAAGGTAGGGTCCAAACTTTCTATTACTCAGCTAACATGCTTGCAATTCTTGTATTTGGTTATTTACAAAGTATATGAGCATGAGCAACCTGTGTTATTGAATATTTAGTTTGGAAGTAAGTTTTTATTGAGGCCTCACATGATGCTCTGGATTTCTATCAGATACGATTTATTGACAACACAGATCCTGCTGGCATTGATCATCAGATTGCACAACTTGGCTCTGAGCTAGCTTCGACACTTGTAATTGTGATTTCAAAGGTCTGCATTGAGATTATACTTTTTTTATTACTTTTACCATTCCTTTTTGTCTATTCATTTGAAAAGAAAAAAAGTTCCTATTTATCTAATCTCTTAGAAGGTTAATATAACATTATTCACAATATTCTCTATTATACCCTTTTCCTCACATAATAATTCTCAACTAATTAATTATTTCACCGTTGAAAAATCCATATTGAAAGGGTATAATAGAATGTTTAAATGTAACTTTATGAAAAACAAGGACATAAATTGTATTTCTTAATGCATGTCCTACTAATCTTAATGGACAACAAAGATATGGTGTTAGGATGGCATGTTATTGAATTGAAAGTTTTGATTTATCTTCAGAGTGGAGGTACCCCTGAGACTAGAAATGGCTTATTAGAAGTACAGAAGGCCTTTCGTGAAGCGGGATTGGATTTCCCAAAACAGGTTTAATCTCAGGTTTTAATTTTCTTGAGAATTTCTTATTAACTATTATTGATTGATAATATATTTAAGTATAAAGGCAGTTGTTGGATCACTGCTACAATGCCTATTTTCAAATATTTTCTTACCTTGTCTATAAACAATTGAACTTCTTGAGTTGTTTAGAGTTTCTTTTTCACTGTTTAGGTGTTGAGTGTACCCTATATCACTAGCACATATGTGATCACTGGTCGATTTATCTGCTCATGATAATCTGTTAATTGATGGTATAATGCAGGGTGTTGCTATTACACAAGAAAATTCTTTGTTGGATAATACTGCCAGAATTGAGGGATGGTTAGCTAGATTTCCCATGTTTGACTGGGTTGGAGGTAGAACATCAGAGATGTCTGCAGTCGGCCTGCTTCCAGCAGCTCTGCAGGTGATTGGTCTTTAATGTAAACTAAGTTATTTTCTACTTTGATTTTTTGTGTTGAACTGTAATGTTTCTTGATTCAGACCATTGATATTAGAGAAATGCTTCTTGGTGCATCACTTATGGACGAGGCAAATAGGAGTACTGTGGTATGCATCTTTTTCCTGCCAATGTTTTAATATTTGAAGATTATCTTGACTGCTGTTCCTATCTGATGAAGGTTTTTGTATTTGTAAATTGTATGTATGACAAATGCGAAGGATGCAAAGAGTTCTACTTAAAGGAACATTTTTACTTAAAGATTTTTCTTGTCCACGTTTAAGTATTGTTGATGCTCCATGTGCTAAATAAATGACTGTAGCATATACATAAACCAAATCATGTTAACTTGCATATATTTTCTACTGGTTTAGCTTCATTTGATACAAGCAAGACAGGTGCTGAGAATTCAATAGTGTTTTGTTGGTTGAATTAGGATAGGGATGACTAGTTTAGGGTTTGTGGTGGGAGGGTTACTGATAGGAATTTGCAAGCAATGTAAGTGCTCAGGATTTGATAGGGTTTTATTGGTCAATGTTAGGAGACAAATGGTTGTTTAATGGTGGATAGTTACTCAGAATTTTGGGAGCAATAATGTTTTTTTTTTTTGAAAGGCTGGGAGCAATAATGTAGATTTTGGGTTCAACTTGTGGCTATTTGGTGCTGCACATTACCTCTGTGATTGGTGTCTGAAATTTCATGGGATGGATTATTAATGTGTCTTTATTAAAAAAAATATTAATGTGTCTGGCATATAAATGTAATAAACTATAGAAAATAAGGTAGATAGCAAAACAAGAAAACAAACATAGACATCAGACCTAGGCTTTGAAAATAACATCACAATCAAGAAGGTTTCACGCTGGAACAAGGAATAGGCCTCCGGAAAAATATCCACAATCGTTTAAATAGGCCTGTCTAATAAGTTAAGCTACAACTTACAAGAACTAGGAATATAATCATGGAATTTGGGCTTAAGGCCTACCACATCCTTACAAAATTTGCTTGTAAGATGAGGATTGCTCAATCCCTTTAAGCACTACTTAGACCATATATCTAGTCGAGGCTGGACTAAATATAACCTCTCACATCCAACACGGAAAAGATGCTGAAGGCTACAATGAACAGTCCAGTGTTACCACTTACCACAACTAAGGTAGCTAAGGGTTGATAATAATTAAGGCAACTTGCCGACACTTTCACGCCCAGGCTATGGGCCTGAAGCATGGCCAATGTGGGTGGGCCGACGGTGGATCTAGGATAGACTCTAACACTGTCTTAGATTTTGGGCTTAGGGCCTAACACAACCCCCACATAATTGACTTAAAGGTCTATCGAAGCCTTATAAGCACCACCGTGGCGATATCTCTTGGCATTGTGGGACTTAGAACCCTCCTCACATCTAACACAATGAAGGTGCTTTAAGTGGAAATGAAGGCAGCCCAAAATTATCCCATCAAAGATGGCTTAGGGTGTGTACCCCAATGAAGGTGGCTTTCAAACAAAATTTAATCCCTTAAAGTTTAGAAATAGGAGGTATGCTTGAATATTAAAAGAAAGCCTGATAACAACTTTGTTACTTACCCAAGCCCAGATAAAATCTACAACCAGGAATTACAAAATTACTAAGTGCACCTATTCTCCGATTTTAATAACAAAAATAAAATATCAACTCGCCAAAGTTAATATCCTCAACAGTGATAATCAATCAAGATACAATCAGTAGTTGTGCATTAGAATTCTGTTTTCAGCTTTTGACTCTTTACATATTTGTCTGCTTAAATTTGAATCTTCTTGATCACAAGGGAAAAAGCCCCAAGGATTTCCTGTTAATTTACAATTTTATGCAGATAAAGAATAATCCTGCAGCTTTGCTGGCTTTATGTTGGTATTGGGCTACAGATGGTGTAGGATCCAAGGTACGAATTATATAGTTTATGGATCATTAGTAAGCTTCTGTTTCATGTCACTGTTTTCTGTTTTATGTCACTGTCTTCTGTTTTGTTACTATTGCTAATTGTATTCTTTTCTTTCTTTCTATTCCTAAGGATATGGTTATCCTTCCGTATAAGGACAGCCTGTTATTATTTAGTAGATACTTGCAGCAACTAGTCATGGAATCTCTGGGCAAGGAATATGACTTGGATGGTAATCGGGTATGTGTGGCACATTTAGCAAATCTGTCCCTCATTATTTGTATACTTTGTCCTGCATTTTGGATGAATTGCTAGATTTTCTTTTAATTTTTTAATCAGCTTACAATTGCCTTGTATCAAGATACTGCTGAATGGAGCTTTAAAGCCTACAGTTTTCCAATTGGTTGTTATTGTCTTAATATGGACTCGTTTTAAGTTCACCTTCCTGCATTATATGTGGGATATCATAGCTTTTAATGAACATGTTGATAATGTGTCTAGTTTGTATCTACATCATACGATGGTGGATGTTTCATGATGTTACATGCTATCTCACAGCTACTGATACTTTTTAACTTTTAAACATTTCAAACTGTCATGAATGTTATATTCAAGTCTGAATTTTTTATTTCACAGGTTAATCAAGGACTTAGTGTCTATGGAAATAAAGGAAGCACAGATCAACATGCGTGAGTTGTTATTCCATTTTTAAGTTTAGTTTATATAATTTTTGGTTTTAACAAATTTGTTAAACTTTTGATCCAAGAACAGCTATATTCAGCAACTGAGGGACGGTGTACACAATTTCTTTGCAACATTCATTGAGGTGCTACGTGATAGACCACCTGGTCATGATTGGGAGCTTGAACCGGGTGTTACCTGTGGTGACTACCTGTTTGGTATGCTACAGGTCTGATATATTAATCAAACACGTTTTCTCATTAAATTTGATTATTCTATAGAAATTAAAAGTTTTCCGTGGCTAGTGTTATGTTTGTATAGTTCTAAAAATTGAAGTTTCCACAGGGAACAAGGTCAGCTTTGTATTCTAATGACCGTGAATCCATCACAGTCACCGTGCAAGAAGTGACACCTAGATCAGTTGGTGCCCTTGTTGCACTGTATGAACGAGCAGTTGGGATATATGCCTCACTTGTCAACATAAATGCTTATCACCAGCCTGGTAAACAGATTTTTATGTTGCTTTCTAAGCTCGAGTGATGCAAATTGAATTATATAACTGCCTATTTTATTAATTCCAATGCTGTCATGTAACTACTTTTGAATCTGATAATTAGGTGTGGAAGCTGGTAAAAAAGCAGCAGGAGAAGTTTTAGCACTTCAGAAGCGGGTGTTGGCAGTGCTAAATGAGGCAAGGTATGGTGTAACATTTTTGAAACTATCAGGCTTCTCTGGGTCTGTGCTAGAAATATATGAAATTATCAAGCGCGTTACAGATTCATGGATCTAGTTGACTGGCTGAAGGAGCCTTTGATTGTACTTTCCTCTACTTAATAATAAAATGTCCCTTTGTTAGCTAGGAGTTTTTCCTATCTGTTGGTGCTTGCATTGAGAGGCAACTGAGAAAGAGAATTCATAGCATGCGAATCTAGATGGTGTCACAGCGAGTTAATGCTCTAGATGCTTGCAGTTATTCTTTAGATTTCTCCAATGGATCAAGAGGTCTTGCTTGGACAATACAGGTAGAAGGATGCCTATGAGGATACCTAATCCCACTCCTTGTTTGTAGTTGAGCTGATAGTTGTGAGTTGCAGCTAGGGATAACTTCAATACTGCCAAACTAGTGGCCTCTTAAGGATTACCCATCACTAAAATCAAGGAGTTTGAAGTTGGTTAGGGAATGACAGTGTCTTTCTCAAGGAAAATGTAATCATTTGGTGATCCAAGTTACTGAACAAATCTGTTCGTGGATGCTTGTGTTCTGAAATTGGGGGACTTCAACCTTATCTTGGGAATGGGGAGTTGATGGGACCCATTAGGAAAAATGAGTGCTAACCATGCAAGATTCCGGTTTTATCCCTTTTCCTTCTTTCTCCTTCAGAAACAAATCTTCCTGTCATACTCATGCCTTAGAAATCCGTCAATAACAAACCAATGCTTGTTCCGATCAATATGGTGTCAAGCGGTTTCGCTTCTAGAACGGTTGCAGTTGACCGTAGTCCGGTGGTTCTGATGGCGGGGAGGGAACCACAACACTCGAAACATCATCTGGTAGCTTTTGTGGCGGTGGGAGGCCCACAACCCACAAATGGTCCTTCAACGGCTTTGATTGCGCAATATTTTTTCTTTTATGCAGATTTAGTGACGATGAGGAATCCACAACTTGAGTATCAGTGCATTTTGACTGATTTTTTTTTGCTTCTGTTCTCCAATCAATCATCCATGTTTTTACTTTCATCTTTTCAGCCATTGCACCAACGATCTTTTCAGATCTAAATGCAGATACATTATGGTGTGTCTTTTGTCCGCCAACAAAAGTTGCTTCTATCACTTCTAACTAAGATTCCTTCTTTTTTCCTGTCTGTGGTTCTGGCAGTGTGCCTGGATTTTCCCGCACTGTTTTCTTCATCCGAGCCCCAAATCTTCTCATAAAAGCTATGGAAAATGATGTCCAATTGGCATCAAAGTTTTCTTGACACCAAGACTGGAACCACAACATAGCAACACCATCCATTCTCATGAATGCCCACTGCTTTATCAGATGAATGGAATTTCTGCTCCTAAAAAAATTGTTCTGCTTTAATTATCCATCCAAAGGGGTCTTTACCCACAAATTTTGGCAGACCATCCATCATTCACAAACCAATTGGTAGGATTCTTTCATCTCGAACAGTGGCGGGCTCTCCGTTGATAATCCGGTAGGCCGGGCCAATTGTTAGGAACCCAATGCAAGAGATAAGAGAAACGTGTTATTAATGATAAAAAGAAACCACTACGGAGAATAAATTCTCTATAATCCAAGAGCAAAGCTCCTCCAAGGAAGAAGGAATTCTCTCTTAGCCCAAACCTAAGGTGGTTCTAGTACAAAATGATACTGATTAATCCCCATATTTCCCTCTCACACACCTCATGTACTCCCTCTCAGGTGTAACTCCTTTCACGATATGTAACTAACTCGCCAGCTCATAACTTCCCCTATCCATTTGACTTTTTTTCCTAATGGGTCCACCATCAGGAGTAGTTGGAGGCTTTGGGGAAACCACGGCAGACGAAGAGAACCATTAGCTTCAGTCAGGTTGTGTTACTCTCAAGGGATTTGCATTGGAGATCAGATTAATTCGATATTCCTGCCATGCAACAAGTTTTAAATACTTAGGCAGGTAAATCCAGTTACTGATAACTCCCTATCCTTTGACTGAAGAAATAAGTATTTGAGAGGGCTGGGCAATCTACAAATAAACCTATTACCAAATGGGCCATCATGTAAAGGTCCAAGTATGCCATGGAAGCAACAAAGAAAGATGAGGACAGCTGTTTTAATTAGTTTCTCCTTTCTGCCTTGAGTACAAGGCAACTTCTCAGGTGGATGGTAGGTTTTCGGATCCTGTAAGTTATGAATAAGGGACCAATAAGTGGAGGGACCTACTTGTAAATAACAAATGGAAGAGAATATTAGTTTGAGAGGAGATTGAAATAATTTTCTATAGTTAGGTGTAAGAGAAGCAATTTTGTGTTTCCTTTTCATTTCCTGCTTATAGCTTGGGGCTACAGGGGTCTGCCGCTGGGAGCTTTTGCTCTTTATGCAATTTCTTCTACCACAGCCTCCTTTTTTAAAGGATAGTTGCTGCTATCAAAGTGTCTGAATCCTCATGAAAACCTCAAACTTTCTTAACTTCATAGCAACACTTGATATGTAAAAACTAACCTACAAAACTTCCCTGATTTGGGTTTTCATGAGGATTCAGACACTTTGATAGCAGCAACTATCCTTTAAAAAGGGAGACACCCCCTTGTATGTATTGTCCACGAACCACTTGGTATCTTCTTCAGAGTTATTTATTTTATTATTATTATTATTTTTTTTTTTTATATATATAATTTTTTTTCTAACTTTTTTTTTTGAAAAGTAAAATTATATTACTCAGAAAAGACGATAGATACAAGCGATCCCAATGGATCCAACTACAAATAACCTAGGACCAAAAAAGGGAAAAAAAACATCTACCAAACTATCTAACCCCCTCTATCATTAAAATAACTATATACTCCCTTAGTTTTTTAGTGTTTCAACCTTTATACACCAAAGTATCTATCACTTTCCTCCCAATTGTAATGATATCCGACTTTTCTCCAAAAATATTATTATTCCGAGCCTGCCATATCTCATAGATGGTTTCAGAAATCGCCATTTTTAGGGCTGTAGCTCGGACTCCTTTACCTTTGGTATGTTTAATAAGCCACTTCAGCTCGCTATGCCAATTTCCAGGGGTATGGTGAATTTGAGCCCATCTTAGGATCTCTGTCCATACGCACTTTAAACATTCACATTCAAAAAATAGATGGTTTAAACATCAATCATACCGTATTTTCGCAATCTATCTTTCGTCGCTAATCTTCCATGGCAAGCAAGCCACAACATGAAATTAGCTCGCGGCCTTGCGTTGTTACCATACACCATATTCCTCCACTCCACTGGCTGACCACAATCATGTAATTTAGCATACAATTTACTCATTCTAAATCCCCCCGTCTTGAATTCTACCTGATTACTCATGTTTTGGAAATCTCCCATGAGATTGAGAATACCTTTCATTATCCAGGAATCACTCTGTTTACACTCGATCTCTATCAGATATTTGTTTTTGAGATAGTACGTTTGTACCCACTTAACCCAAAGCGAATCTTCCTTACCACTTAAATTCCAAAGCAGCTTCATTATAGTTGCTTTATTCCAAGCTTCAAGGTCAACGACGTTTAAACCACCATGGCTACGAGGGCTACAAATCTGCTTCCAAGCTACTGGAGCTTTACGGCTTCCTTCAAAACCTCCTATCCAGAGGAAAATGCGACAAATCGACTCTATTCTATGAAGAACAGTTTTGGGGAAAGGAAAACAAGTGAGCCAATAATGAGTCATTGCAAACATAATACTGTTAATGAGTTGCAGTCTCCCCGCGTATGTCAATAGCCTCGCAGTCCAATGCTTTATCTTGCCCACGATCTTGTCAATTAACGGTGCATAATGACGAACAGAGAGTTTTTTACCTGTTACCGGCACCCCCAGGTACTTAAAAGGCAGCTGACCCTCTCGGAACCCCGATGCTCTGATAATATTCTGCTTAGTCAGTTCATCCATGCCAGCACAGTACATTCGACACTTTTGCGGATTTACTACGAGACCGGTAGCCTTCGAAAACTTCCCATAAGTATTCATCATCTTTTCAACTGATACCTTATCTCCTCTGGCAAACATAAGTAAGTCGTCCGCAAAGCATATGTTTGAGATTTTCAATTTTTCGCATTTAGGGTGAAAATTGAAGTCACAGTCCTCCTGCATCTTGTATAAGTACCTGTTCAAACATTCCATAACAATGACAAACAGCAAAGGTGATATCAGATCACCTTGTCTAAGCCCCCTTTTCGCTTCCAGGATGTCAGTTAGCTGGCCATTGACGTTAAATCTATACGAAACAGTGGAAACCATAATCATTACCCATTTCGCGAACTGTTGTGGGCAACCCACCTCAATCAAAATCTTTTCAAGCGCATTCCAATCAACCGTATCATACGCTTTTTGAATATCCATTTGCATTAACCAACGGGGAGAAATACTTCTCCTTTCGTAACCTTTAATCAATTCATACGTGAGCAAGATATGGTTGTGAATTCTCTGCCCTTTGACAAAAGCTGCTTGATTCGCACCAATTATCGTACCTAGAATTTTGCTGAGACGGTTGGCCAATATCTTGGAGATAATTTTGTACAGGGTACTGCAACACGCAATAGGACGATAATCTTTAATTTCTTTCGCGCCCTTGTGCTTCGGGACAAGCGTGACAGCAGAACAATTAACCGCTCTGTACAAACGGTTATGCTTGAAGAACTCCTGCACAGCTGCTATGACATTCCCTTTGATGATATTTCAGGCTTTCTTGTAAAAGTAAGCTCCAAATCCATCAATACCAGGTGCCTTATCATTACCAATGCCTTGTAAAGTTTTAGTGATTTCTTCTTCGGTTACATGTCCCGTCAGTATACCCCTTTGCGCAGCGTTCAATTGGCTTCCATTTCTCATAGCTGCTGTATCAATGCCTTCAAGGTAGTTCAGTTTTGTACCCATTAGCTTCCTGTAGAAAGAGATCACTTCACTTTCCATTCCTTGCTGATCTATAATAAAGGTACCATCTGTTCTTTGAATTTGAGTCATGGTATTACACTTCTCTCGCATCTTAATAGAGGCATGGAAATACTTGTTGTTGCCGTCACTAAGCCGCAGCCAATCAATTTTAGCTCGTTGTCGCACCATACTATCATCCAACTCCTGTAGCCTAAGAAGATTATCAGTACATCTCTTAACCGTATGAATTTTTCCTGCATCCAATCTATCAGTCATTAAAGTATCCTGCGCCTTGTTCAAATCATCACGAACTTGTGCAATTTCCTTGTGAATCTCAGCCAACGGTTTGCTCAACTTTCTGATGTGGGGTTGTAACCTTTGCAACTTCTTCCAAACAACAAACATTGGATTTCTTGCTAGCGGCATGTCCTAGCTGTTCTTGACAATTTTTTGGAAGTTATCAAATTCAGCACAACAGTTTATAAATTGAAATTGTTTTTTAGGCCGCTGGGCTTCAATACCGTCATGTAACACAAGCATGGCATGGTCTGAAATACTGGGGTTCATATTCGTTAACGTCAAAGTTCTGTTCTGCTGCATCCATTCAACGTTACAGAGAACATGATCAATTCTTGAGTAAATAGCATTATCCCCCTGTTTATTCGACCATGTGAAGTAGTCTCCACCACTGTCCATCTCATATAATCCCGTATTGCTCATCATCTCAGTCAAGTCCTTGTATTCTTGCTCCGTAACGTCGTTACCGCCAATTCTGTCTTCAGATCTCATCACATTGTTATAGTCACCAACTAGTATCCAAGGCCCATTTTGCTGTGCATTAATCCTTTCAATATCCTGCCACAATTCCTTCCTCCGCTGCAGTTGGTTGTGTGCATAAATGGCTGTCAACCAAAACAGAAAATTTCAATTAACATCATTAACCTTGCAGTGGATCAACTGATCTGTACATTCCATCAGTGCCATGTTCCTTTTCTTCTCATCCCAATGGATCCAAATTCTGCCATTATCATGGTGAGAATAGTTATCTATAAATTTGCCTTCTAATCTCAATTTCCGACGAATACAAATAGCATTCTTTGCCTTAACTTTTGTTTCAATTAACACAAATATTGCAGGGGTAAGTTTTTGGAGACGAGAGCTGATCTCCCTAACTTTGCCTGCTTTATTCAATCCTCTGATATTCCAAGAGACAATCATGGGACATCGTCTAGGAACACCGAGGCTGGATCATCACCGAGAGTTGCATACAGGTTCCCGTCATTTTTCGTTGGCTTCTTATTTTTTGGACTAGAACCGGTATCAAAACCATTGGCCTTTACTTTGTCTTTCCTCTGCACCTCTGTCCACGCCATACCTTCATCCGTATCTGTTTGTTTGCTATTAGTCATTCGCACAATTGATCCAGATATAACAGGTTCCTGCCCTGTTGCTTTTTGTGTTGGTGTCTTCAATGTCTCCCGTTCCTTTTCAACCACACTATCATCTTGGTGCTTCTTCTCTTTTGGGATCCACTGCTTGGTTGGGTTCTTCATATGCTTCTCCTCACATTTATGTCCAATCCGCTGGCATTTTGTACAGTATGGAGGCCTCCATTCATATTCTACCCTTTGTTTCATCTTCTCGCCTCTCTCATCTGTTATAGTGATTTCAGCAATGAGTTCTTGTGTAATATCAATTTCTACCAGAACTCTAGCATACGAGATACGGTATCTGTTCGCGGTGCATTCATCAGTCATCAACGGGGTACCTAGCACACTCGCTATCTTCCCTAAACTTTTTGCTCCCCATAAGTGCAATGGCAGTTGAGGAAATTGAATCCATATCGGGATTGTGCGTAACATATCATTCTTCAAATTGAAGTTTGGTTTCCATTCAGCTAGCAGCATCGGCATGTTGGCATGTTGCAAATGGTGTACGACCCTTTTCTGAGTACATCATCCCTCTCCTTATGTGAATGAAATCTCAGTACAAAATACCCTTCATTGTTGTAATACATGTCAGGCAATTTAACGAAATTCCATTGTTTTAGCATGAATTGTTTGACCAAGTTCATACTTAAATCACCTCCCATCACATACATGATCAATGCCGTCTCCCAGAATTTCACCTCTGTTTCAGTGTCTACTTCTTCAATACATACCTCTGCAATACCATTGACAATCGTTGGTGCGATGAATTTCAGTTTTAACCCGTTTCCAGGATTTCGATTTTCACTTATAACATCTACCCATAGTTGTCTAGGTTCAATTGCCCCTTTTGGTGAAATTAGGGTTCCGGATTTGCTGCTTTCCTGTTCTTCCACAATCTCTTTTGTTGACTCTTCTTCTCCATGTTGTGTTTTGTTTGCATTTGCGGTGGTGTCTGATATGTCATCGTCCTTGTTGCTGATGGCTGACGGCGTCAACACCACCTTTGGTGGTCGTCCCCGCCTCCCCATCTAGTATTCACTCCTGATTTTTTTTTTTTAACTAATAACTAGTGGTAGAGATTAAAAGCAAAAAAAGTGGTATATTTGTAGAGACAACATATTGAAGCCTTTACTTTTTTTCTTTTTCTTAATTGAAGATATAATAGTAGTAGGGTCATTGTCTATCTTCAATTCATACACGCCTTTTTATATTTAGCATCCTTATTCTATTTAAAGATACTGTCCGGTTAGGTCCGCTACTAATTGCAATTCGCTTGTCTTTTATTTTCAGCTGCAAGGAGCCTGTTGAGCCATTGACAATTGAAGAAGTAGCTGAACGTTGCCATGCTCCAGAAGATGTACACCATTTACTTCACTGCTCTCCTATATTAATTTTTTCAACTATGTTACTTAATCAAATTATTAAGAAGTGTTAGTCAGATAGATTTTTGGTAACATATTTAATTTTTCTGCAGATTGAAGTAATTTACAAGATTATTGCTCATATGGCTGCCAACGACAGAGCACTAATTGCCGAAGGTAACTGTGGTTCTCCAAGGAGCGTCAAAGCTTTTCTTGGGGAGTGTAATGTTGATGATTTGTTTGCATGAGTTAAGAGCAATGAAATCCACATTCCGTAACGATATAGACGTGTTCAAATCCATCAAAAGAGAGGAAGCCAGCTTGGAATAAATTATTTTGGATCTCTTCATCTTCAATGAAAATGATTTATTTTTTTATAGACAAACTTTTCAAAGAGTGGTTGAATTTGGTTATCTGAAAAGGAATCATGTTAATAAACTTGTCTATTATAACCAAATGGAGAATTAGAGAAGTCACGTAATGAAATAAGCTGGGCAACTTTGTGGAATGCTTGGTCATTTTCAAAAGAAAATTTGAATTATGTAAAATTAATTGTGTATAAATTTTTTTGATTGTTAATTGCCCTAAGTTTCATTTTGAAAGTACATTTGGTTAAAAATGATAGTATCAAGGCTTCGTTTAATTTTTAGCAATTATAGTTGCTACTGCTACGAATGATAGTTCCAGAAATAGAAATATAAGCTGCATAAACTAAAAATAGGCAACGTGATAAGTGTTGTAGATGTTCTTAGGTTGCTTTCTATAATTACCTTTACTCGATGGTATTTCACTCATGCTGCGAATATCAAAATCATCTATCACTTAGAGTACTCAAAAAGAAGTTGAGCTTGATGGGCCGGTCCAATAGTCCACGTTTTAACATGGATTGGATGTAAAAAAATTGGTACAAATAATATTGGAGCATTTAACTTGCTACACTTCAATTATATTTGACATCCCACATAATTTCATAAAGGATTGGTTAAGGGATAAATTTTTTTGAAAATTGTCTGGTGAATTTAATACAATTTTATAATTAATGATTTTATTGTTCTTTTTTATAATTTTTTTTATTTGTGAGTTTTTTTTAACATGTGACTAAAAAATACAAGTTAACATTATTCTTTCATAAATTCATAAATGTACTTGTTAAAAATTTGAATCAAATTTTTGATAGTCAACTCAAAAATCTTAATACCACCAAAATTTTTTGTAGTGTATTTAAAATTTCGGTATAACAAAATTTCTAAAAATTTAAGGATTTTGCAATTTTTCGGGAATGTTAAAGTGTGTCATTTTATCAAAAATTTCAACCAAAATAAAATTTTCGGAAGTTTAATTTTATGATATTTTAAACGGTTTTGTCGATAATTTTTGAAGATTGTGATTGCACCGACCATTTTGTGTGGTCTAGAATGAATTCAAAGTTGTACAAATAGGGGTCACTTGTTGTTTGAGAAAAAACATCTTAAAATGTATCTTAATTTTTTATTAAGGTAGAAGTGTACTTCAACGGAGTTGCACCTCCTATAGAGTTTTGACTTTTAGATGACATTACATCTCTCCGCCTTGACATCCAAGTTGAATGAATTGTTGTCTGATATTGATAATAGAGAGGTGAGAAATATCAAATTTTGTGAAGATTAGATTGATACTAATGGAACGGTGAAATGCAACCTTAATAAGTTGAAGACCAATGAAGATGTGACCGTTATGTGGAGATCATTTTTTCGTAGGATAACAAAAGGGTCGATCGAGTTAGATGCAAAGATTTTAAGATCCGTCGACGGTATTATTAAGATGATGAAACATTCAGAATCATTTGGTAGTGTTTAATTTTTCTGATTTATCATTATTTTTAAGTTATGTAATCGTCTGTGTAATCATTTGTCAAATGTTAAATTATGTTCATCTTCTATCAATGGAATATCCAAAACATCATCTAATAAAAAGTGTTGTGTAGATGTCTGAGTAATGTTACACGTAATATACAAATAATACATAAAAATGACAATAATGTCTAAATAGGTCCTTCCACACATAGCTGTCCGAGATAATCTAGTAAAAACCTCACCATCTGGGTTTACCAAAATTATGAGTTATCAATAATAACTGCAATCATCTGCAGGCGCTGCTGGTTATCAACATCAGTTGGAGGTGGCGGCAGTGGCACGTTATTGACAGATACCCCAACATCGAAAGGCCCAACATCATCTGTATGCTCAATAGGTGAGATGATGTGAGGGTGTGATATAGTGATGTACCACTTCAACTAACCATCATATCACTGTGAGTCGTGCTAAACCTCAATGTGCGATCTTTAATGGCACGATCAGAGTTGATAATGTTACTCTAAAACCACCTGTCAATTCCCGCAGATGGAATATCCGAAACTAGTCGTGGGATGCCCTAGACATAACCATAATGTCGATGACACCTCTTTGGAAAGTGTATATCAACTAAGGTCTTCTACCATATATAACCAGAATGTAAAGAAGTGTTATCACTCACGGTGGACTCTATGATTAGTGTATGATGTCTAAATGACATCATATACAGTCAGCACATCAAGCCTCTTCCTTACTCTTTAAAAAATCGAGATGTGTCTGCCTGGCCTTCCATCTCCTCGCCCGTGGGGGCCCTCATAGGGGAAGGCTGCACCCTTCTATCACAGATGGTAGGGAAACGCTCGTATATCCAACACTTTTATAAGAACACAGACACATCAAATAATAATTAAAAAATGTTATTCATAACAATTAAATAAGAATTAAATTGCGAATAATGAATTCAAGTATACATGTAATAGACTCAAATAACCAGTAAGTTGTCTGGTCTAAAAGGTTGTCGTAACTCCAAGTGATATATATATAGGATGGTCAATGCAGAGCACCCTAAGCCTAAATGGTATCGTCGAGGCTACTGAATAACCACATGTACTGAGCGTAAATATAAACACCCAACTTGCCCGTAAAGAGAGTACATGATACTAGATGTAGCATGTAAACCTAGGCATGGCAAAAAAACCCAGACCCGTCGGGGCCCGCCCGGAAATTAGCGGGGAAAACCCGGTTTGAGTGGGTACGGGTGCGGGTGCGGGGAAAATCCGATTTTTAATTACGGGTGCGGGTACGGGTGCGGGTAGACACTAAGACCCGCCCGCACCCGGCCCCGCCCCGCCCCCGAATAATTTATTTTAATTTAATTTTCTTATTTTACTTATTTTAATATTTATTTATTAATTATATTTTTAACTAAATTATTAATACATTTATTGCAATTAAAATAAATAAATTAATCAAGTTAATATTCATTTACTAATTAAAATTTTAATTAAATAAATAATTAATTTATTAAAATAATCAATTTTTTAATTAAGTTATTAATTTTTATTGTAATTAAAAATAAAAATTTTTTTTCGGGTGGGGGCGGGGCGGGTGCGGGTGCACCCGTTCTCTACTGGGGGCGGGTCTGGGTGGTAAATTTTTACCCCCGGTCGGGTTTGGGGGCGGGGGCGGGTGTGTTACATGAAAGCGGGTGCGGGTGCGGGTATAGTAAAACCCGCCCCCGACCCGCCCCGTTGCCATCCCTATGTAAACCCTAGCAACAACCTCATACATTTATGCCTCAACAAGCTCATCGTACCTATCCCAAAGCCAAGACATACAAAGGTGATCATCCCTATTAAAGTCAAACTCCTCGAGCATGACCTACTCAGAAACTGGCAAATCTCGTACAACCACCATACATGTAAGTGACGAGCTAATAGCAAGAGCCGTGAAGAATCTTTCAACGATGGGGAAATGGAACAATGAGGAGACATCATCCAAAATGATAGTCATCTCCCCAAATGGAAGATGAAAGGAAGATGTCTCCTTATGTCATTGCTCAACAAAAGTAGTCAGACATGGAGCGTCGAGCATGGTATCAATAGTTAGTAAATTCAAGAAGATCAAAATCACGTATAATTCGTGTGACCTGTTCATGCATAAGAGTCTTGGGGAAGTTCTTCATCTTTGATCCGTGTGATGTCACATTTGGGAGACGGTCCTGTAACAAACAATTTTTTTTAAAAAAAATAGTAGTTAGATTTCATTACATCATGGAACAATAATAAATAAATTAAAGTTAAACATAAAATATATGTACCTCTCCCTGCCATAGTCGGTATACCAACATACTCGGTAAACACCGACCGATCTACGGGTCCTCCCCAGAATGCTCAATCAGTGTGCACAGACGACTCCATTGACGAAGCCATAACCTCTGTTCCAACAATAGCATAAGGGACCAGATCTATGGCAGCTACCTCATTAGTAGCAGGGGCATCTGGCTAGACCACCTCATTTATAATAGGGCAATATGGATGAACTACCTCATGTGCCACCTCATCAGCAACCTCAACAACAAAATATATCGCATTTGTCTCGATCGTTGGGTTATGAACATCCTGAACCTGCACCTTCTGAGCACGAACAACCTTAATATCATATTTAGGATGCTCGTTTGATCTCACCGCTCGACGTTGGGTGCTACAGGGTACGTGGAATGGACTTGCTTCGCCAACCATTTTCGATGTGAATTGGTTGGAACTACTCGTCCACCTCGTAGTTGGGAAGACTCAGTCTCATCAGCCCTAATCTAGGTTGCCGCTCTATCTGTGGCCATGCCTGCAATAGTGTCATCACTTCCCCTGTATTTCACTACAAAAATGAAATAACAAAAAAATTAATTAAGTTCCAAACGGGACGAATATATTAACACGCGCCAAAACCTTCCATCTTTCTCCTTCGTTTTTCTAAAAACTCACTAAACCTAAAAAAACCAACTGGTTCTTCCCCAGCTGTAGTACCTCAAATTTGTCCTACCTTTACCGGGTTTCTAGTGCCACTTTATTTTGAATGAATAAAATAGCACAACTGGCAAGAGACTGTGTGTAAGGAGTTGTGAGTGTGAGAGGTCGAGAGTTCGAATCCCACCTTTTTCACTTTTTGTTTTGTTTCTTTTATTTTTATTCTAACTTTTCTATTTTCATAGAAAAAATAACAAAAATAGTTTTTTTTATTATTTTCGTATTTTATTTAAATTATTTAAAAAAAAAATTATTTTTTCACTTTTTTCCATATTATTCATAAAAACATCCAAAAATCATAAAATTAAAAATATTAGAAAAGATTTTATTCTTTTTATAATATTTTTAATGTTTAGTATAAATAAATAGAGTTTTAAGTTTATTTTAATTTGTTTA